AATTATGAACGATGTTTTTCGTTACTTTCGTTTCCTTCTCCTCCGTAACGAGCTGGAAATTTTCGTGTATACGAGAGAATTCGTATACGAAATATCCAAAGTATAGTGCTTTTTATTAATTCTCTTTCTAGACTTTGCTATATATATATATATATATGAATTTGCGGTGTAATCTGATTAAAGAAATTTGCCCTTTTGAATATTTTATATATAGTATTCCTTTTAAATTGCTTTCTATTTCAGAATTTTAAGACTTAAAAATTTTAGAAGTATTATTATTTTATTATTATTATTAATTTTAGAAGCATTATTAAGTTTTTTAAAAGTGCACAGACATTCGCAAATTGTTGGAAATTTGGGAAGTATGAAATAATTAAGCATATTTCATTTGCAGCATACAGAATCGTGAATAGGACATTTCAAGCGATGTTCGTTTAAGTGACAATCCATTTTCTTGATCTTTTCACACAGGTCGACCTCTTTGGTACAATGAGCTTCCTTTTCGAATTCTTTTCTCAGTGAATACATTGCCTCTCTTCGCTTATCCTTCTTCGTCTCGATTTCTCGCCGTGAACTCGTTTCGTATGCTTCATCAATGAAAGCTGCCAAGTACATTTGGTTCAACTTGCGAATGTTCTTCTCGTGTTCTTCGTACGGTTCACCTAAATTTCGGTGATATTAGTAAAAAAATACTCGATTTTTTAAGATTTTTAGCAATTATTTATGCATTTCCTGTGCACGTTTATAAAATAATTGAAAGTAATTATATCGGTCAAGTTTGAAACAAATTTAACAATATAAATTATTCAAATCCTCACTTCTGTATACTGGCACGGTTCCCGCTTCCAGTTTCTTCTGTGTTTCTTGAATCTCTTTTCCACATCGTTCATAATATGTTCCGCGCAGAATCGACGTTGGTGTTTCGTCGATTTGACAATCTCGACGTTTGCTCTTCAACTTGGACCTTTTATTAGACACGTAGCGTTTGTATTCCAAGCATTTCAACATCTCTTCGATCAGTGTGAACTGAGTATCGTCGATTCTGGTGATCACACCTGGTTGTTGCTTCGTTCTTAACAAATGATGCAACTGCAGAAGAGAAGAACTACGTAATTTCGACAGAAAACAGATCGTTTCGCCGTCAATTTACCTTGAAGAGAATAAACAGCGTCCAGTGCATGGACTCACGTTCGATTTTGGTCTCCACAAATTTCATCTCCTTCTGTTTGAATCTAAACAGTTAAACATTTGGAAGAACATTATATGTATATTGTATGATTTTTTCTAAATATAACATTCGACGTTCTTGTCACATCTTTAATTTTTCACTTTGGCTCACGAGCCAACAAGTTGGAAATGCAAAATGATTAATCATTTACAAAATATATTACTCTGATATAGATTAACATGGGACTTTTCGTATGAAATATAAACTGCCGTTCATTCAATTATTTCTAATAAGTAATAATTTTATAATACAACAAGTTTGTCACTTTTGTATTAAACACGTATAAATTATTTAACAACGATGTTGTTGATCGATATTAACGCTAGAACTACCAACGTGGTCAAAATGACTGATTCATAATTTTTTTTACATATATTACAGATGCTAAACAGTGTTTTTTACAGGTTTTAAATGATTTTTTTATAAATGCAAAACAGTGTATTTTTACAGGTTTTAAATGATTTTTTTACAAATGCAAAACAGTGTATTTTTACAGTTTTTAAATGATTTTTTACAAATGCAAAACAATGTATTTTTACAGGTTTTAAATGATTTTTTTAATAAAATACACGAATAAAAGTTTGTGGGTTCCATTGTGTTTCTATTTCTTTACACTTTAATATCTCTGATGAAAAATTCTATGCCTTGGTCTTTGATAGTTCCAGTGTTAACAACGAACGAAAGCAAAAGGACACAAACTTCTTCATGTTCCTCACGGTTTCCTCGTTCTTCGTGTACACTCGGTTCAACCATCGTTGCATCTTCTTCGTGTCAAGGACAGTTTTCCTGATCCAATAGCCACGCCAGGACGCCTGGATTCTCGTGGCCATTTTGTCATAATAATCCTGCCACGTTTGATGGACACGGTGCACCAGGTATCGATCGATCGTGATCCTGGTACGATGGCCACGCCAGTGACGTTGGATGATGACAGCGCTCTCGTGCAGCAACCGGAAATGATTTCGAGTGAGAATGCCGCGGATCCAGGCCTACGCTGTCGAGCCAAATCCAATTGAAGGTTCGTAACGTCAGAAGAATCGCGTCCCGATTGAGTTTTTCATCGAACGAACAATAGAGAATGCGCATTCGATGAGAAAAATCGATAGTTTAATTTCGGCGGTTAGTTATTTTCAACAATTATAATTCGTATCTAGAGTATTCCATTTTTTCATATTTATGAAAGTAAAAATCAGTGATTCGAGAATTTCAATGATGATGATAATCTCAATTTGCACGTAATTTGGTAAACGATGAATCAAGTTCTTCAACTCGTAACTCAAACACCTTTCCAACAATGTCGATTAAATTCCTCAAGGATTTCCCCACGTTACCAGCGCATCGCAATTACAATGATCGAAAAGCGAGAAACAGGGGCTCGCCGATGACTGGTCGGATCGATGTGTCGCGATCTTGACCTTAAGGAATCGATATCTCTCGCCTGTGTCGGGCACAGTTACGACACACGAGACTTTATTATTAGCGAGGCTCGCGTTCAGGTTGGATAAGAACGATAACTCGCGCGCGCGCAAGCTGCCATTATCGAGCTCGAGGTTATCTTCTCGCGTGTTGCAGAGGGTTTCTTTGTCAAAGAACTGGCAGAAAAAAAACCTGATTTGACGTTTCCTACGGCCATTTTCGAGCAAGAGTCGTTAACCTGTATCCTTCGTGCAGCGATAAAGTACAAATGTCTGGTCGCTTCTGCGAGATTGTCTCTGCGTTTCACATCCTCCTCGAATTCGATGGGATCCACCGTAAGTTCAGCCACGGACGCCATTGACACGATCCTTTGGATACGTAAGTAGATGTTTATTAATGGTAATTGGTGGATGAGTTGTCTGAATTTTGTCATAAATGCGTGGCTATGAATTATCGATCGTTGAACGAAACACTGAAAACGCTCAAAAGTCTTAGAACACTTTTGATTTTTGTTCCTGAAGTAGTGTAGGAGAATCATAAATGATTAATTGTCATTAATTGAAAATAAATTACAATTAATTATAACAATATTACATTACTGAAGTACAGTATGTTACACCGTGGTATTATATTTAATAAAAATATAATTTAACGAAAGTAATATTCCAATTTATTTTGCATTTTATACCTTTTATACCGTGGTAGAGGTTGACGATGAAACGAAGTTAAAAATTCCAAAATTGAGTAACGATACCAATTGAGAGTTAACATTGGCGCATAGGACAATAAAATTTCTATATTTTATAATACAATTGCTAATGTATATTAACGCTTTACAGATTCTCTTTATTATTAAAGTGTTATTTAATTTTTCCAATTTAGAAGTAAATATATTTGTTTCAAAACTTTTGAGCGAGGGTGTACATTTGTGCATGATGTATCGTTCTGTAACACAGCACCATTTTTATTTCTATTTCTATCGAAACTGTTTTTTGGAGAATTTCACTCGTTTATTATACATATGTATATATTGCTATTATATGTATATACTGTGCAGATTCCTCGTGTTCACGTGTCTGTGCCAATATCAAGTGATTCACCGATATCGTCCATAAATTGTAATAAATCGTCTGTAAAGTTAAGCGTTATCGTTTGAAACACGATTGAACGGCGAGTGCTCATTCGAGAAAACACACACACACATTTAGCAAGAAGGTCGAAAGGCAAGTAAATAATAAATTATTTATTCGTTCGTATATTTCATATTTTAAGAAGCAGCATTGATCAGAGAATCCCTAAATATAATAGAAACAGCAGGAGAGACGTGAAGAGGAACATCAGCGTCACTGTCGTTGCCACCGCCATTGTGGCGTTCCTCCTCTTCTTGGATGTCCTCGTTAACACGTGAAAATCCTTTCGAGACTATAGGATCACACAGTAAGTATTAGTAGAAAGGAAAGAAAAATAAGATGAACGTATTTTCATTCTACAGTATCATCCAATTATTTATGTTATTTGAAACTATCGCGTGAATGGTGTTCATTTAATTTTAATCGGTATTCGGACACTTGCGTCTTTCGGAATTTTAATTAATTAAACTGTAACGAGAAATGATTATTATGAAAAATTTGGAACCAATCTGTAAAAGTGTATAGAAATTATAAGATATTTATTGCGAGTATTTTCTTTTTTAAACAAGTAGACGACAAGAATAGCATTCAGTAAGTATCAAAAATAGTTTCACTGAATATCGTGGCTTCTATAAACAATTTTATTATTTCTACGTTTCTGTGCGTGCTACTTGTGTTAAATATCTTGTAATTCCCAAAAAAATTTTTATTCAAGGTTTATTTCAAATCTGACTAATATAATCATGACAGTCTGATATCACTGCAGCGTTGTTAAAAAAGTCAAGATATATTCACTCGTAGGCGTAACATATTCGTAAAAAGTTCCTATGAATATTCGAACAGTTTCGTGATTGATGCACGCCGTTTTAAAATACGAGAGAATTTTAATTATAAGCTACTATTAACAAACTGAAAACGATACGACACGTGTTGAACGGTTGGAGCGTGGTTAATCGTCGCTCGATACCGGAACAGTTAACGGTATCGTTTCAACGCGGATAAATAAAAGCGTAATCTCGACACGCACAACCCTCGTGGAAATAAATGATACGCCGGGGTCGTAAGCTGCGAACGCGTTCAGCTATTGATCGACGCTGTTCCAATGAATATTTTTCATGCAGCAGATCTAATTGTGCCTGTTTGTTACGCGGGGATATGGGTTGCTAAACAAAACTACGAGCTTCACGCTCGTAGCGAATCCTTGCATCTTTTATCAGACACGTTCGCTGCCGGTCGAATTTCCTATGTGCCACGTGAAATTTAACAGTATACGTTGTTACAAAGTGACAAAGAGAAACGAAAATTCTCCGATAAGCGAGCAGAGGAGTATGAGTTGGAATTGCTAGTTTTCAAGAAAGCAAATTGTTTACAATATTTAAATTTAAAGTGTAATGTAGAATCCACGTTAGATTTTTTTCGTGAAAAAATCGATAAGATACGTCTCATCCCATTGTACTTCAAAATACACGTCACTTTCAAGAAAGTGATAACGTGTGTCGTTTAATCGAAACTTGATCTGTACCCTTTCGTTTATCGGGGAATTTAAAATTGACGCTTGTTTGGAGAGTTTGTTTCATGGTTACTAAATATTCAACGCGTCGAATAAATCAAGCGATTTACCATAATTTGCAAAGTCTGAGTCTTTCGTACGAGTTCGTCGAGCCTCTGGCCCCTGTCAATCAACTTTTGCACGCCGTCCATCAATGTTTTTCGGATTTCCGTCAGCTCCTCCTCTAGCCTCGGTATTATTTCGTTTCGTTGATTGTACTCGTCCTGAAATAACCATAAACTGATGAATTCCCGGTGAAGGAAAAAATAAATAAATAAAGAAAGAAAGGAAGAAAGAAAGGAAGAAAATGATCGGTGTTTAAACTCGAGGGAGGTGTTTAAGTTAGGTTCAAGTTACGTACGACTATCTTCTTTAGAGGTTTCGAGAGATCAATGACCGCCAGATCGGTCAGATCTCTGCTGAGATCAGCCAAAATCGGCACTTCTCTGTAAATGTTTCGCATCTTCTCGAGAAACATCTGCGAACAGGATTCCAGCTTGGCTGCTGACGAAGAACAGTCCGCTTTCAACGTGAGGCAAACGTAATGTAGTTCACCGATGAGCACGTGAACCGTGTACCTGCGGATGAATGATACCTCCAAGAAATAGTCTTTCAAAAACCGAACCTTCTTTCTCTTATCTTACATTCATTTATTTCTATCGAATTTGTGAATTTGAGAGTTTCGCAAGAGTCACTTTCGAAATTGTATATTTTTAACATTGATGAATTTTTGTGCAAATTAAATTGGAAAGTAATAAATAAACGAGATTACAGAAAGGCAAATGCTCGTGCTTAAGCGCCATCCAGAGTTCGAAATTCAAAGAAATTGTTCTCAATTTAGCTGGATGCGAACGATATATGCGAAATGTTGAGAGAAAGGTAGGGAACCGAGTGTCACGATACAAATTAGCGCGCTTACTTGCCCCGATCGAAGCTGATCTTATCGTTCTCCAGCGATTTGAGGCCGTCAACCGTGCTGAGCGCGATCGCTCTGTACGCTGGATCCTGTTTCGCCGGGTAATCCGCCACGATTTTGCACCCGGATTTCTCCCACAATGCCACCAACGCGTAGTACACCGTTTTGTTCATCTTCCTCACTGGACACTAATCAACATAAAATACATCCGCTGAACCTTCCCACCGAGAAACGTAACAAGAATCGAATTATAATAATTGAAATTTTAAAAGAGTTTCATGCCATCGATGCCTGTCTCAGATAGGGACGAACAACTGAGAACAATTCTCAATAATCTTTGTTACAAAAATAAAATTGATATTTTTGGAGAAAACGAACGACAGTTCTGCGTTATCTGGCATAAACAAGTGTAAGTGACATTGTCATTAGGTATAGTCTAAGAAAACGTTGAGTAACAATCTATCGTTGTAATTTATACTGAATGGAAATAAAACTTCTTTCAGTGACAATGATAGATTATATACACAGTGACAATCAGGTCTCTTTGGAGGTTTAAAGCAGAGCGAGAGTTTAAAGAAGATACGGGCAAAAATATAGAAAACATATATGATCTAAAACATGCAATGGCAGTGAAATAGCAAGATGATACATCGACCTACCTTTTTTTCCAGCCCAGTTGAAGACCACTCAACTGCCGCGTGTTCGTGACGGGTCCCTGCTGCCGTGGATGCTCCCAAAAATTGGCGCTCGTCGACTTTGGCGGTGCACTTAGGTGGTGGAAAACGGACGATCATTCGCGAACCGATCAGTTGGACGTGTGTGTGTGTCAGTTTCAAAGGCGGCGAACAGGCAAACACGTTGTCAGGTCTTCGTTGGCTGTTTACCAGGTCCGAACTGTGTATCACAAATAAGTAATGAAAAAGTATTTCGATAATGGACGATAACGGGTTGAGCGACGTCGTCGATCGTCGTGCGTTGCCTCGAGCAGAGGCGCTGCCTTCTTCTCGTGAGCAACGTATACCTCGCGACACGTACGGATTCTCTGTCGTGACCACTCGATATTCCCTCGTTGGCCGTTGGCGCAGAACAGAACCCTCCGAGGCGTCTTGTCAGGTCAACTCCTACAAAGCCTCGGCCCTGCCGAGAATTGCCAGATGTGCAAACATACCTCTCATCCAAGGACACTTTCTCTAGCCTTGGAGACAGTGAGACAGTATGTGGAAAGGCTCGGTAGGGCATAAACAAAGCCTTGTCTAGGAAACAAGGCGCCTTGGCCGGCTCCAGAAAGTCGCCTACCAATTAAAAGGGCGACGTAGACATAGCGAAAAGATGATTCAGAGGAGTCACCAATAGACCATTCGAGGAGACACACGTGGACCTCTTGACGAGACACACGCAGTCCGTCCGAGGACTGACTCCGCGTCAGTTACACATTCACTTTCATTTACACTAAATCAGTCAGAGTGATTCCGCGTCGGCCACTCATTCACTCACTCAATTCAGTCATTGTATTAGTTGAGAATAAAAGTATTTATTCTACATCACGTCTTCATTCATTAAAACATCTCTCCGGAGGCACGTAAAAGGCACGACGAGAGAGCGACTAGCGAAGCGGGCAGCAACCAACGTTCACCGCCGAGCTTGCCGTAACAGCCGTCTTTTTTTTGCGATTAGATACCGAGGCGATGGCTCTGCTGTTTGCACGTTTACGGTTTAGCCGAGGAGGATCCATTGTCGCTGTTTAGTATTTTTATCTTCAAGCGTCAGGAAAGATCAGTGATCGCTTCGAGTCAAGTAGATGTGGTAAAATTTTAATTTACAGAGAAATTTTCTTGAATTTATCGTGCTGTCAGTATATATGCAGTTCAGATGGAGATGATGGAGATTTGTTGAAGAATTTTCATGGAATGATTTGTTGGATCTACTTGACTGAACTTGATAACGCGTGCATTTGTGCTGCTTAGATCGGTGTGAGTTGAAAAATGGAGCGCAATGGAGATATTTGAAGTTGCTTTTTTTTAATAGTTTTTTTTTCGTAATTCGATATGTGAAGAATAGTTTAAAGCGTGTGATAAAATTCTGTGACAGAATCGTGCCACTAATAATTATAAATGTAAGTTGGACTTGCTCTTTTTCTTGGATCTCGCGTGAAATGGAAGTTATATTTCAATCAATATTATTAATATGTAGATAAACAATTTATCACTTATTAAGAAAGAAAAAGGATTCTTAAACAAGTAGATGCATTCATTCGTACTGTGTAACCCTTTGTATTCATTATCAATTATTTATAAAATTATTTTCCGCGTATTCGACAGATAGAAATAATAATACTCAGGAATAAAATTTTTCTAAATAAGAAGGATGTGTGAAGAAGTTATGAGAACGAAACGGTCGAACGATTATAAATGAGATTATTAGCAAATTGCGAATGAGTACATCGTTTCTATGTGCTTCGTATATTATAATTAATATTATACCTATATATAGCGAATACTTATGCAAATTCATGTTACTTTGATCACTAACGATATGTTTGTATCACAACGAACAATGTAATATTTTCAATATTATATATATTTTTGTATATTATGTATACGTTCTTCGTATTTCTCAACAGTCTAATTAAAATATTTGGGTAATCGATAGTGGCAGACATTATTTAGTTTGTTCGCGAATAGCGGTTTACTAGGACTTATTGAAAATTGGACGTAGGTTACTACAGAGGAGATATCGATCGGGTATTTCTAGACAAATCGGGGAACATTAATCTGATCGCGTTAATCGTGGCCGATAATGGATTCCAAAATACACTCGGAATGTTTCCGTTAATTAAATATTTGACATAGATACGGCGTTCCAGTTGAATCGTACATCTCGTCTCGTATTAAAAGAGCGGCTATCAATCGAAGCCATTAGACGACAGCCATTGCTCGATGCTTCGAGAGTTTGCATCCAACCAATCGATGTTGTTTTCGATCTCCTCGATTGCGTTTCTCTTTGCGTTCTCAGTCACTTTCAAGTCGGCCTTTTCTCGAAAGAATTGCGTCGCCTGCGAAAATGAATTTACGTTTTCTTTCTCCTTAAAAATATCTAATTCTTTTCAAATTGCTGCAAATTTTATAGCTTCATCATCTTCTAAGGAATAAATGGTAAAATTAATTGCTGGAAAAGTTACCATTTTCTGGAGAAAGTTAACAGAAATTTAAATCGTTTGTTGAAAAAAGCTGTCGCTGCTTGTTGAAAATTATTAAATTGTAGAAATTAATATTATATAATATAATTGTAATAGTGTTTTTTTTAAGTTACGCCATATAAAAAGTATCAGGATTTTAATGTTAATACGTTTGTTAGAGTAAGAAGACAATTACCTCTCGTAATTTCTCACGATCTTTAAACAAGGATACAACTGTGCAGACGATATTTCCTAAAGTGTACTCGTTTCTTTCGTATTTTACAAGTAGTGTTTCCCATCGAGATCTGAAGAAGGATTAGCATTGTGTTGCGATAGCGTATACCGTGAAAATTGTACGAAAGTTGTCTGGCTATCAGAAAGAATGTCAGTACCGCACGAAATTCCAAGCGACGTCCAATCCCACGGGATTCATGGCGATCTTGATCAACAGCGTTGCAAAGTCTTGTCCACGAATGAACGTCTCGTCTGTTGCTCGTTCTAGATATCTAAAATCGAACGAACGTCGAAAAAAACCGCTCAGAAAGACGTAAATCATTCTCAGTTTGAGAAAATTTAGAATATTTTAAAGTGAGAATTCTGTAATTTTGAGTTTATAGTTGAGAGTAGCTTCGGAGTGTTAAGAGGACGAAAATTTAATAATTTTGGAATTTTAAAATTCTATAATTTGAAAAAGAATTAAATTCTGAATCTGAGGATTCTAAAAATCAATATTTTGCTTTCGAAGCGTTTTAAAATTTGAAATTTTTTTTAAAAAAGATCCCCGGAATTTAGGAATTCGGCAATCTAGGAAAACTTAAAAATGGACGACTTGAATACTGAAAGTCTTCCAATTTAAGCACTGTGAAAATTAACGTTTCCAACTCCAAGAGTTCTAAGCTTAAAAATTTAAAGCATCTAAAATTTTAAAATTCCAAATATTCAAGTAACTAAAGTGCGAACCCTACAAATTCCAAAACTCGATATTACGAGGTTTTGAAACTCAACAACTTTTAAAATTCGCACAGTTCACGAATGTTGTATTTCGAGCCACGCGAGCTCGATACTATCCCTCTTTTCGCTGTCTCCATTTTACGTTCACCTATAAATTTATATTCCCGCTTAGTGGATCGCCATAAATCCAACGCGACTTCGACAAATTGGACAGCGACACGCGAGAAGATAACAGAGAGCTGGCGAGAGCGCGTCGAAGGAGCGCACGTTTGCTAGCAATTAGCTTGGGGAATGAATCGCGTTCTGACGAACCGATGAAGAATATCTTTGTCCGGAACTCCGGTCATCCCGATCATCAAACGTTCCTTTTCCTGCGCGTCGTTCACCGTCTCGAGCAGCCGCGACATTTTCTCGAACATCGATCCAACGTCGTCCGACATCTTAACGAGACCTATCGTTACTTACCGTTATTATGGATACACGCGCAGAGCATTGGGACTAAAATATTTCTCAAATTTCATCCTTACCGTACGAGTAGACGATAGAGCGAATATCTGGCAGCATTTGCCGGGTACCATCAGTGTTCTCCAATAGGAACTTTCGCAGCCTCCTTCCGGTTGTCTTCAGGCAGTGGTCGTGGCCTACGCTGCAAGCTGCGTTCAATATCAAGACACGGAACTCTCTTGAAACGAACGGAAACGAGACTTTTCTTAATGGATGTTGCGCTCGAAGGTAGAGGAAGTTTGGTGGGAAAGAAGAGGAGAATGTAACAGAAGAATATTTTCTTGGATTTTTGTACTTTTTGGGCCATTGTGCGTTGTTTATTCGGTTAGAAGTAATTACTAGAATTTAATTTGGTAATTTTAGAATTTAGAAGTTCTAACTCAAGATTTTTTAAAAACTTTGTCACTTATCAATGATGCCGAATGTTATTAGTCAGAAAATTCTTGCGTAGGAGGACCTAGGTTCGCTAAATGTTTTTATACGAAGTTGCCGATTCTTGAAACTAACTGAAGCAAAAGTGAATGTTTACGAAATAAAGAAAAATCTCTTCCATCACATAAGTTTAAACTAACCTGTCTTTGAACGAATCTTTTTCATAATTATGCCATCCCACTTGATGATAAATTTTGTCTACCAGACTTCTCGCGTATGACTAAAAATTCACAACAAAAAAGAAAAAAAAATATATATATATATATACGGTGATTATTAGACCGCAAATGTTTATGCAAATTTTGGAAAAATTTAAGGATGCAAAAATTTACAGACTATGGATAATATGACATAAATGAAAATGAAAATGAAACAAATTTTTATCTAGGTCCTATATCTCTAGGATGCATAAGAATCTGCAATCTATTGTAATTAGAATATTCTTAAGCTTATAATACTCGAAAACGTCGAAGTACGTGGGTTTTATGAAGAAGTCTGTTCATTTGTCCGAACCATTCCATAGCCACAGCCCATGATTGATAAGCATGTTCGTTCATCAGGTAAAAAGTTAAATTCATAGCTGTAGAATAATTTAAGCCAGCTCCTGCTAGAAGAAAAGCGTCGTGCAACAAGTCCGCTCTGTTCATAGCACTTAACGCCTGCGACAGTTTCAACGTGAAGATGATTAGGCTAACAACCAACGTGAAAATCAACTATCAACCAAAAAGCTTAGAAGATGATATAAAGCACATTTGAGTGGCGCGTACTGAAGGATTGTAGAATAATAAATTGCCGAAAACGTTCCAGGCATCTTCCGTGTAGTTCACGATGTAATAGCCGATCGAATCATGATTCAATTTGATCCAATCCACTGACTTCTCCAGTGACAATTCCACTGCAATTCGCAGTGCGTGTTAAAAAATTGGCAGTGAAAATTTGTTACGTACGTTGTTATTACCGCAGGAGTAGTTTGCGAGGAACCAATCCAGCTTGACGCCATCCTTCCTGCTTGTTACGTATCTTATTGGAATTGTCCAACTCCCGTCGCTATAAACGAGAATTCATCGTGACTGAAATCAAAACTCTTAATTTAAGTAGTTCGATACATTCATCGTTACGTATTTTCTTTTTAAATTTCGTCAAAAAACCGCAGCGTTCAACTGAATTTTATTAATAAAAAGCAATACCATGTTTATATTAAAAATGTTTACTATAACCATAATTTTGTCAAAACTCCTAAGAATCACACAGAGAAATGACAACATTTTGTATTCACAACTTCTATTCACCCTTCTATTTCGTTTTCTACTTCATCCCTGTTATTTTATATTATTTTTAATATGTATATTTGTATCCTTTTCCTTTCTCTTTCTCTCGTCAACATCCGTTTTTATCCGCTATACGTACTCGATCGTTTCACTAAATCGTCTACTCGTGGCGAAGCGCCGCTGTAATAGTTGAAAGCCTGCTTTGTCTCGGCGGACATTGATCACCGGAAATCCAGGGAATCTCATCCATCGGCGGACGAAATCGACGATGTCAATGGTGGCTTGCGTGGTGTTCCCCAGGATATCGAACAGCTCGCGAGACTCCGCGTTACGAAACTGGTATCTTCTCAGATACTTCCTGACAGCAGAAATCAACTTAGAATTGCCAACGGTGTCCTCGAGCATCCTAATCACCGACGCCGCCTAGCATTCAATCAACCAATTGCTGTAACTTCTCTTTGTCTTCCCTCCGGGTCATTCTTTAACGAACTCTCGAAAGTGTAAAAGTTAATTTTCTAAGAAAATACTATATATATTACATTTCAAACTTTTGCATTAAATATATTACACTTTGTTCAACACTTTCTCGTAAAATTTTATTGGTCCGTTCTTGTGAGATATTGTAAAAATTTTGTTTTCAGCTATTGAGAATAAAAGATACTTTTACTTTGTATCTGGTATCGAGCATTACTGAATTATTTAAATATCTGACTTATTGATCTTTCAAGTATTTCAGGGTTTAACATACTTTCTGATAGGAAATCCGATCGAACATTTCTTCTATTTCGTTCAAATCTTCGATCCGTTTTACAACTGAGCGGGTGCGTAATTTAACGTCGTGTCTCATAGAGATGTATTTAGTGTATAATGGGAATGAATCCATCTAACGTGAGGAATAGGGAGAGTTAGAACTAGAAATAGACGTACTGATGGTGGATTTAAAAGTAAATAACTAGTTTCCATTCTGGGAACAAGAAGTCAACTGCTATGTGTTCCATGTATGTGGCGAATCCTTCGTTCAACCAAAGATCGTCCCACCATTTCATGGTAACCAGATTGCCAAACCACATGTGTGCCAATTCATGGGCCACAGTCAAGCTGACTCTTCTCATATTGGTGCAAGAACTATCGTTTTCGCTGTGAAGCAGCTGCGTTTCACGGAATGTGATGAGACCCCAGTTTTCCATGGCGCCTGTCGTGAAATCGGGCACACCGATCAGATCTGATTCGTAAAACATATCTTTTTAAACACCATTTTCTTGCATTTTGTTAATTTTTATTCTTAGTATTTTTTTCTAACTCATATTCTATAAGTATATGCTGCATCAAGACAATTCCTGAATTTTGTAGAACACGACGAAAGAAATGGAAAAGTATTGTAAAATTTGTTCTGACATGAATTACCCAATTTTGGCAGTGGATAATCAATCTGAAAAGTCTCCAGATAAAACTTCATCGCTTTAATCGTGATGTTTAAGGCGAATGCTGCCTTTTGTTTGAACATAGGCCTCACACATACAGCAACTGGTATTTTACTTTCGTTCAGAAGGTTCATGTGAGTCCCTAAACACTCAAAGTCACTGACCAAAAAGGCAACAAGATAAGTGGACATCGGTGGCGTAGGTTCAAAGTATGCGATCGTTTTATCATTGTCGTCTCCCATCGTCTCCATTTCCTGGAGGAAATGACATCATTGTATATGTATTTAATGATTTGCAATTCGTGTATTAACTTACTACAATTGGCATGTTTGATTGAGCGTGATAAAAAAGCTTCTTGGAATAAACGAGACGAATAAGAAAAATGGATTTGAAGCTTGGCTCATCGAAGCAAGGAAACGCTGTTCTAGCGTAGAATGGCTCGAATTGGGACACTGCTAACTTTCTGCATAATAATAAATAATGCAGGGATATCATTGTCATAAAATTTATCAATATGTCGAATTTTATGCTAATTTTGTGCAATTCTATATCTTTGTGAACATAACTGAAGAACTCGAGCCTAAATAGAAACTGAATTAAACACTAATATTCGGCTATTAAATATTATAAAACATATTTTATTAATACATATATATTAATATATAATGACAATATGTAAAAAAATATGTCAATACATTATATACTATATTTTAAATTTTTCTGTTTCTGATAAATGTATAAACACCCATAGAGTTTACACATTAATAATATTCACCTAATGGATTTATTTTCATCAACATAGGTACTTAAATAGAATCCACTTATTTTTCCTTTTAATCTACCACTGAAATTCATTTTCAAATAATACTCTCCTAAAGAGATATTTCTATAAGGTTTGATAACCAACATCTCACGTTTTCTTACAGGAAAGACCGACTGTATTTGAATTTCAGTTTGAGATTTCTTTGTGTACAATTTGGTTGATGATATGGTCAGATCCTTCGAATGTAAAGTAATATAACTTTGGTCCTTTGGAAAACGTTAACGACACAACATTTTTTTAAATACTTTTTACATTACATTAACTGTTACATTTGAATAATAGAAACTAACTTTTAATAATTCGAGATCGATACGAATGCTACCGTGAAATTTGTCCTTTTGAAAGTCAGGCGAGATCGCAATTACGTATTTCCTGGGAAGTACATGCTCCGGGAGGCGTTTCTCGATCTCCATAGATTCATTGTAATATGGATTTAAATTATCTGGGGAAACCTGCCCGTTGATCACACGAGAATCTTTCGTCTTCATTAAGACTATTGTAATTAAGATAAATCGCCAGCCGGTCATTTTGTTTCCAGAACAAGGATTTCTTGTTCCAGACACTGGCTTCCTTATCTTGTCAGGCCACAGAGCTTAAGTTGAAAAACGACTTCGTTCTGTTTATCAAAGTCTCAACTAAATGCAAATATCTTAATTTGCTTTCTATAAAAAGAGATTATAACTTAAAAAATGTTGCGTCGAGTATTTACCGAACTGGATGATTTAAAAGATTGGTTAGGCTTCTTTCTGCTAAGAAGGAAACTTCGCTCACTTCAGTTTGTGCAAGAAAATCATACATAACGATTAAGAATTAATTTTCGAAAATGTTGATGAATTTCAATTAATTTTAAAAAGTACGTAATGTAACATTGTTATAGAAATCTCATAAGTTTGTATTAGATTGTGAATTAAATTTCAATTGCTGCTTTAAATATCTAAGTTATCAAAGTTATATCAAAGTGCTAAAATTTAGTTTAGGTAGAATCTGATAGACGGGGAAGCATTTTTCAAATTAAACCATTGAGAATCAACAGTGATTTATAAAGACTTCGATCTAAAAGTAAAGTTTCAAGCGAATTTATTCACTTTCATGGCTATGATATTAAAAAAAATACTTGATAACGTAAAATAAGCGAAGAAAAATAAAATGTGTAAAAAAAAGATTTCGTAATCCAACAATCGGAATCCTGCTCACTACACTATGCTAAAGTGAAAGTAATCGGAAGAGTGCGAGCATGGGTTGACTTCGAAATAGTAGGCCAATGAGAGCAGTCAACGTATTTTATAGACAGTGAGAGCATACCAGATAAGAGAAGGACAAAAAGAATCCCAGACTGTGGAGAGGGAAATATATAATTCTTACATAAGCTTGGAAACCAGTTATTCTACAGTGAATTACCGTGCGTTGCACTCCACTGTCTGTGAGTCTCTGCTCCATTCATACTAGAAATAACATTGTTAGTAAAAATATCGTTATCGTTAAATTCTGTGAAATTGCATTGTATAAAACTTTTCAATTTAAATCAGTAAATCGTAAATAATTGAACAATTATAAAATTTTTAAATCAAACAAACTCGGTTGGATTAAACTCAATGTGTTCCTTGAATCAATTTAAATTAAAGTAATACCTCTAAATTGTGTGATTCGTTAAAACGACATTCCATTGACTCAAAATTATATTCCGTAGATTCACGACAATGGCTAGTTACAAGTTGGTGTATTTCAACGTAATGGGACTTGGAGAACCCATTAGATTCCTTCTCAGCTACGGGGGCGTCGAATTTGAGGATATTCGTGTAAACCATTCGTCGGAAGAATGGGCCAACATGAAACCAAGTACCTCGTATTTCCCTTTTTGGCTTTACTTCTATGGAAATCTCGCTGTATCTCAATGTTTTTGCAGTGACCCCGTTCGGCCAGTTACCCACGTTGGAAATCAACGGCAAAGTTTACTCGCAAACATTATCTATTTGTCGTTACCTGGCCAAACAGTTTAATCTGCTTGGCAAAACCGATTTAGATACGCTGCAGATCGACGCGATTGCGAGCGCACTTTACGATTTCAGACGGCGTAAATATTGATTTCGTAACTATGCAAATTGATCCCTTCCCGAATGATATGCTCTCGGGAATAACGTTCAATCTCGCTACATGATCGACATAAGTTTTCCTTTCTTCTTTCCAGTGGCGATATCATCTTATTACAGGGAGACTGATCCGGCTTTGAAAGCCAAGAAGAAAATCGACGTAATGACGAGAGTGTATCCGTTTTACTTGAGCAAGCTGGAGGATCTGGCGAAAAACAATGGTGGTTATTTGCATGGCAACCAGGTAACCATACATTTGTCTGAAGCTTTAAGAAGATAAAAAATTAAATAATTTATATTTTTCGAATTTTTCAGTTGAGTTACGCTGATCTATTCTTCGTTGCTATATCGGATTCCTTAAACACGGCTTACGAATCTGACATAACGGAAGACAAACCGCATTTGAAGTCTCTCAAGGAGAAGGTTTTGGCACATGAAAATATAAAGAGCTGGATAGAAAAAAGACCAAAGTTGGAGTTCTAAACACGCGTAGATAAATCTCGCACGACGAACGTCTTGAAAATGTGCATGTGTATCTTACAAATACAATGACATGAAAATTCGAACGTTAGAGTTGCACTGTACATTTGTCGCATAACACGTAGTTTGAATCTGGCGGTACTGCATATGAACAGCTAGCTTACCAGCTGTTGTTTACATCAGGCTGCAGCTAATTAAACACAACTCCTTCGAGGAAATAAACCAACGCGATTAATTAAAACTGCGTTTGAAATGCAAATGGAACGTGTATCGAAACTAACAACCGCTTCCAAATTTGGGAACGTTCAAAGTCATCGTCACGGAAAACTAACAAGTGGCCTAGTAACCCAGTTCGGCGAAACGATCGATATGACCGTTTTCGATTGATCCCCGCTGTTTCGAACGTGTTTCCCGGGGAATAAAATCGGGCTGGTCGGCCCGATAACATCGAAAAAAGGTGAAATTTTGATTGATTTATGTGGAAGATCGTCGATTGACCAGGGCGGTCAGTGGCGCCTCCATCCGGCGAACGGGTGGCGGCAGCTAGTGGCCGCGCGGCCAATCAGCGCTCTCGAATGATCGCTGCGCCCGGACGGCTGCGCGTCCGTCTCTTAACCGCGGAGCCGTCAGTGTGCGCGCCGCGGAGAGCCAGACAGACAGACATCTTGTAGTAGAATTTAGCGGCGTGGTGTTTTCGACCGTGGGTGTCGGTGTCACGGTTTCGTGTCGCGGTGCTCGTCATTACGGTGTCGTCGCCGTCGCCGTTGTTGTCGTTGTCGTCGTCCTCGTCATCATCATCGTCGTCTCCTCCGTGGTCGTCGCCGTTGTCTTTTTTGTCGTGCTCGTTCTCCCTGTGTTCACGCCGCCGATCGTTGTCGTTGTTCTCCGCCTCGTCGTCGTGGTCGCCGCCGCCGCCGCCGCAGTCGTTAATAGTCGTCGTGTCTCTCACGGCTGTCGTTCACCCGGAGGAGGTTCTGCCGTGCTGCTCGTGTGGTGGTACCGCGGTTGCGAGACCCCGTCGGTGCGGGCCGTGCAGCTCGCGTGGTCCAGCGATCCAGTTACTCGCCCCGCAAAAGGCGTTGGTGGTGTACCTTTTGTCGGACAGAGGGAGAGAGCGATAGAGCAAGATCGTCGGGAAGAGGAGAAAGATAGATATAGCTAGAGAAAGAGGAAGAGAAGGAGAGTGGTGAAGAGGGAGCGAGAGAAAGAGAGGAGTAGAATCATAGCTGCTGATCGGTCGCGGTGTAGTAAATAGACGGGGAGCGAGAGGAAACATACACACACGCCTGGGAGAATAATTTCTCAGTGTGCAAACGCCCAATGAACAACGCTCCGGAGCCACCGATGTGCCGCACCGTGCGATAACTTCCGTCACCTCTCCGGTCCCCCCGGCTCCTCCCTCCCCTGCTCCGTACGTGTATATGTGTGTGTGCCGCGCCGGGCTCTCGAGGTGAAAATACCGCCCTCTCCTTCCACCCAACCCCCCGTTCGTGAGAGGAAGGTGCTACCTCGCGCGAGTAACTACGGCTAGAGAAAGAAGAAAAAAAATAGAGTGACAGAGTGACACGGTGAGAGCGAGAGAGGGAGAGAGAGAGAGTGAGGAAGAGAGGGAGAGAGAGAGAGAGAGAGAGAGAGAGAGAGAAAGTGGGAGAAAGAGACGATCCTGTGTGACCGAGGAAGAGGAAGAGTGAAATAGAGAAGAGAGCCGAGAGGAGAGAAAGAGAGCGAGAGGCCGGCGCCCACCCGACAACCATCCTCGTACAGCATGACCTCGAACAACTCGCAGAAGCTCTCCACGACGGAACGAGTGATCAAAAGTAAGCGACAAGAACATTTTTCTTATAATCGACATCCGTGAATGGGTGGTATCGTTGTATGTGGAGTGTACGATGCCACCTTGGCTGCGTACATGCGTGTAAGTGTACGCGCGATCTTAACTTGATATGTACGTGTGCGTGGCCCTGCGGCCTCGTCTTTTCCGGCTACCTCGGTCGGTACGTCAGTGTACACTCTCGTATTTCTCCGCTCTCGTGTACGTATTTCTCCGTATCGTGTTGCTACTGCTACTCTACGATGATTCTTATCTGTCCTACGATTCACTCCAATCCCCTGAACGAAAACGCCGCTGCGACGTGGCGTTTCGAGAGACGAACGACGAAATGAGTAGGCACGTCAAAACACGTCGCGTGCCGTACAGGATTGATTTTCTTCGTAGCTTCGCGGCGCCATTGCTATCGACCTGCCAGCATTCTCATTGACCCTTCGAATCCACGCTTTTCCACCCTGGCGTTTCCTTTGCCCGTCATTTGCGCACGATCAATTTCACGAACACCGATCGGAAACTGGAATTTCAGCTTGTCCCGTTGCCACCGATTTCGGTTATTAGTCGGTTATTCTGTCCGCGTATACCTCGCGCGGTGCAACCTAACCTAATTCGCGTTTTACCCGTCAACCCCGCCTCCCCCGCCATCTTCTTGTCTGCAGAGCCGTGCGGCTCGCGCGGTTAGCCTCGTTTCCACGAGGTCGAGGAACGGAATCGTCTCGAGGACGCGGCACGCCGCCCTCGAGGATTTCGCGTCTGGACGTCGTCGTTGGAACAGCTGACCGGCTCGCGTGTACGTGCGCTAATGCGTATCCGATGTAAATACGCGTTTCGTGGCCTGGGAACTGACCATTCGCGTCAACCACGTATACGCGCAACGTTTGTACAACGTATTTACGATCGTTTACGCGTCTCGTTGCATTCTTGCGTCGGATCGGCGATATTTCCGAGCGACCTCGTTTTTCTTCCGCAGAATAATTAACATCTGGGCCGTTGGTAACGAGTAAACGTGAAAAATGCGGTCAAACGTTGTGCTACGAAACTCGTCGATATGTTCTCGTTAAAGAGATCTCCGCAACGACCTATATTCACAACGAAACGTATTTCCCCCCCCCCTTTTTTTTTAACGATTTATCGCGATTATTAGCGGAGAGAATGGAGCGTCTTTATTGTTTCCGGTCGTTAATTCGGCGCAGGTTTATGCTTTTTTCACCCTCGTTCAACCGCAGTGCGTATTGCACACGCACAATGGCCGCTGTTGAGCATGGTTTCGTCTCCATTCTTCGATCCGGGCACGCGTCGAATCCACCGTCCGTGGTTCGCCGATACAGGCATGCCCTTTTCAGCGGAGGAAGCGTGCTGACCCACATTGCTGCCGAAAAGGGGAACTGGTTCAGGACGTACAGGTGGCACTTTAGGTCAACGACCTTTATTGCGTGGCGCCCTCCGCGTGTTTTTCTTTCCCCTTCCGAGTGCGCCGCTTCTTTTTTCGCCATTCCCATTCGCCATTCTCGTTCCCGTTTCAAACGTTGCTCCGATTGTTCTTTTCACCCAGTCTTTTGTCCTCCGCGGCAACAATGAGTTTTGTATGGGTCCTTTCAAAGTCTCTGGGACTTTATCAATGTTATTAACCCATTAAAAGGGCCAACGTACCGGCAACCGCGAATTTGAGTTATCGATTTTCTTCGTTTCTTCCTTCTTCTACGTTTCTATATTCGTAGGATTGCGAGAAATTATTATCCTTTTGAATCGTGAATTGTTATTTTTTTTTTTTAACTTGGACAGGTCTCTGTTTTAGTGGACGTATATGTAAAACAATGTTCAAATAAGCGCAAAACTTAATTTGCAATCAGTATCATCAATCGTAGGTTGTTTAGTTAATTTTAGAGTTTTAATTTTATTTTGTTTTTCTCTCTTCGTAAAGATTGTCGATGAGATTGACTGACGGAACACGAGTTGAAATTAAATAGAAACCAAATCCAAGCAGTATATTTTATTTCTTCGTATCTATTTGGTTTATAGTTTAAAATCTCTTGTAAACGAATGAAATCTTTTCTATTCATTTCACGTTTCGCGAGCGAATTGCAAACGATTAATTAATCCATACGCTAAAAATCCGCCATTTATTCGTATTGCTCGATCGATCGGAGTACAGTGACTTTGTAAAAGGTCTATTTAACGTATCGATTTCACTGAACACGCATCGAATTGACAAGCAGCCCGCGTAAGATGAAATGGAGCAAAAATAGACGTCGCCGCGGTCACGCGTACGGCCGCGAACTATCAACCACCGAATATAACTCATTGTCGTGACGGGAATATCGTAATTTGGAGGATCTCCAAGCCTCGTCGACGATTAACAATTTTTAACCGAGCCTTTGATATTCTATCCCGCGTAATTCATCCACGATTCCGCATGCTATGCACTCGCTTTTCTTTTCTACAGTCTCGCGTTCTTGTTTCACTCGGCTGCTCTCCTTGTTTTCTCAGGTGTGTTCTTCAGATACGTACTTTATTCGTAAAACACAAATCTATGCTACTAAAGTTCTATTGAATGCCAAAACGAAATATTTAACATTGCGTCCATTTTGGATCGTATAAATTTCAGGGGAACTCAAATTTGCAATTAATAATAGAGAATATTGCGAAGCATTTGCGGATAGTTTTCCATTCACTCAGTTTCGTTTGTAATTTTTTTCCCTATCAGTGTATTTATTTGGCGAATCTCTTCGAAATTTCTATCGGGTTGTTTCTTTAGTAGCACGATTTTTCTGAGGTTACCATCGGGATATAAAAGAATAACGCGAGAGGTAACGCGTAATTGATTACTTTATGACAGATGGTTATTGATTTTCGTTTAATACTTACTTAACTTAATGTTTAATATAAATTCCGTAGATAAAATACGAATTTGATATTCCGTCGTATACATATATTTAAGTCATAAACGCTTATATCTGCTATTTAAAATTTTTTAAATAGTTTAGACATAAAAATGCCATCACATTTGGTTAAATATGAATTTTATCGAGAAATCAGGTGATTCGTTCGGAAACAGTCGATTTCTCGTTGACGTTTATCTCGTCTTCAAGCCTCCTCGTACACGTTTTGCATGGAATGATAGAAACGTCATGGTTCGAGGTCTGTTCAGGGTTAAGTTATACGTTGACTTCTGCTTCTCACTCGCTCATCGAGCCACGTGTATGTTGCCAGTCGGTATGGAAATTGCGTTGCCACGACTGACGCATCTGTTAAGACAGC